TACAGTAAGAAGTATAAGAGCACCCTCTATGTTTAAACATGTGTAATGGCAGCTTGATAGGCCTAATTTTAAACTCTTTCATCCAATATACAGAAATATGGTACTCTCATTCATACCAATTTCAAAAATTGTTGGTGTCCTTTCAAATCTTTGCAGTTTAAACTTTTTATAAAGACAAGAAAGATAAGGGACCTCTGAACAGAGAGCTTTTTTATTTTTATTGTTAATTAATTTGTGTGTTGCACAGTTGAAACCCTGTATATGTCTGATCACAGTTTTGATATTTTTTTCTGTCTGAATTGCAGTACAGTTTCCAACTTTTGTTCCTGTGGAGGTCAACTTATTGTAGTTTGCTTTAGACAAAACCTTTTGCCAAATAATAACTTTTATTTATATAGCACATTTTAAAACAAAGTTACAAAGTGCTTTGCAGTGATAAAATAACACATTTTAATAAAACACATAAATAAAATAAAATAACACATCAATTTTGATTCCCCCCCAAGCATTTTCCCCCCTCCCCTATGTTTTTTTTACCTACAATGTCAATAATGCGCCATCGTACTTAAATACATTTAATGAGGTAACATTTTGGCACAGTCATTAACACGTTTAAATAATCCATCACAATCTTTCAGCAGACAAAATAGTTATGTAAATGTCATCACATAATAACAGTTTTCAAGAAACAAATCAATGGTCTATGCATTGTAACACGCTGTCATTTTCAAATTTTAGAACTTAAATAGCTGGCAAAACATTCATTACATCGAGATACTACTCTCATTGTCTTTGTGTTTCCATTCTATACAATATTTTCTCCTTCTGCTTTCAGCCTAGAACAGCTGTTACCCTACATTTCTGTGGATCTGAGCAATTTTCACCTTATAGATAATCTCACTGAATCAGTTTGAATAGTTTAAAAACACTCAACAGTATCATTCACATTCATTAAACATTTTTTTTGTTCTTAACTTTCCCTGTGCAGCTAGGCAGTTAGTCTTCTCATTCTTGTTTTGCATGGCAAATTATTTGCGATCAAGTTTATGAATAGTTTAAATGCTAAGAGAAAGATCTCCTCCCTGTAAAAAACTTGATCTTTTGTTGCTCAGCTAGCTCCTCGATAATTCCATACTCATGACTTCCAGGATGTATTCCAGTTTTAAACTTTGGGTTTTTTTGAGTTTCCATTTTTGTCTGCTCCGTAACCGAACACGTGGACCTTGGAGGAAAAAAAAAAACATCTCTTAACAGAACAACATAATGTATGAAACATTGCTTTTCCCACAATGTTCAAGCTGTTAATTTTGCACATAAGCAGTACTGGCAGCTGGACTACTGAGTGGGCCACAGCATTCAAACTGAACTGTCTATCAAGCCAGTCAGGCCACGAGTCTGGGTTAGCCAATGCAGGTCTGATTAAACAGCAGAGCTCTTCGCTGAGGTGTAGGATTCAAAAGATGTTTAAAAAGAAGTTAGGTCTGGCTTAGAGAATGACTGACTGACATTAGGAATACTGACATAATGATAGGTCACAACATAATTTAACTCTAATGCTGGGCCTCCATAGGAATGTTCACCCAACTGTTTGCCAATATCACCATGTCATTACAGTTTTTCACAATTGCTGAGACACATTTCTTGAAACCTTCATCCATTTTCTCGTAACTTTAAACACAAAACCTAATCTTTAAACTACATTCACAAAACGCCTGATTCAAAAATCAAACAACTGTCTCAAATCCATGTGATCTATATGCTCAAAATAACAACAAGTAATGCTTTCAAAGCATAAACACAGCCAGTCAATAGGTAAAACACTACAGAGCGTTATTTAAACGCTACATCACAAATTAAGAACACAGCGTCCAGGGCATGTAGTTACAGAAAAATTGTTTTTTTTGCATGTAGAAAACACATTTTCCAATTTAAAAAAATGTATTGATCAGAACTTAGTACAGTAAATATATAGTATACTGTAAGTACAGTACTGAATATCTGTATATTCAGCACTTGCATAACAATACAGTACTGTAAGAAAACTTTAAATGAAAAGCCTACACATTTACACTCAAAAATGTTGTGCAGCCGCAAAATCAAAGTTTGTGCTGGGTCCGACCAGAGGATTTCATCTACATCACATGCAGCCTTACTGTAAGAACACTCCACACCTATGTCATCACAGGCCAATTCCATTGCATGCAAGAGATTTCCCTGGTAAATGAATTTCGGTCATATATCTTCCACCACCAGGCAAATAAATATTCCTTTATTGGATTGAAGTAAGGGCTGTATGGTTGAAGGTAAACATTTATGAATTACTGGTTGCTGGTTGATGTTGAGCCACTTGCTTAGCGGGACACCACCGTGAAAGCTGACATTGCCCCGAGGTTGAATGAAAGTAGAGAACCTGTCCCTTACATGTTGGTCAAAGTGTGACATTGCCACTATGCTGGCCAGGGACTGGACCACATATTGGTTTGATCACACCATTAGAAACAAGTGTGCAGTGTTGTGGAAATTATATTCCTGGTGAGGGGTTGAGCAAATAATTACAGAGTTACAACCAACCGTTGTCTTTGAAGAATTTATTCAACAAAATACATAGACAGCTGGCCCAGAGACCTGCCGCCTAGGGCAGCTTCGGGCGTTTGGCCCCGAGCAAAGGGATGCATCATCATTTACACAGTGTAGGTTTCTATGTTTTGGGGAACAGAGATCCTCTCTTTGCCTTGAATGAACATTCCAGGAGAGGAGAGGAACAACAAGAGAGGAAAACACCAGAACAATCTCACAGCTCTGACCTAAACGCTAGTAAATGTGGACGGACTAACATAAGGGGTATAGGAGTGGAAAGGTTGAGGATAAAAACACAATACATATATCTAATAAGCCATAAACAGAATAATGTTTAGCCCCATGGTGGAAGGAGGAGACATGGACTCAGGAGTTCAATTTATTTTTTCACCAGACACGTGGAAAGTGCAGTAGTGCAAGTGTGAATTATTGCAAAAATATATAGAAAATTAACAAATAACCAAACAATGAGGAAACTAAATACAAACTACTCAAATTATCATTGCAAACGGATATTAAACAACACACAAAAAAAACTGACTATTAGGCTCTAGCACATGTGCCCTCTCAGGCCAAAGCTGTTCTCCCGAGAGGAGCCTCTGCCTCCTTCTTTTATACCAGAAGCCCCTCCTACAAAACAAAGTTAATTGGAATCTGGCTACATCAATACACAATATATCAACTATGAAACCAGAAATGAAATGTTACATGGTGAACAAAGCCTCTCAAAAAAGTATATAAATTACTCCACGCTCTATCACATCCTGTTTGCCACTTCAGATCCCTGCTTGAGGATGAGAACAGGTGAATGCAACATACAAACATTTGGATGACCTTTGGATAAATCCAATAAGCTAAAATAAATGACTTGAAATGAACTGTGTTGTATTTATCTAATCTTGATTTTCAACTTCCCCTTTCACTGCCCATCCACTAAGTCATCTTCTAAACATTTTTTCTCCTAATTCTATCTCACATAGTTCATTTTTGTATAGTATTTGAGGAAATCCAAAGCAAAGCATTGGACGGAATGAATGGAAAATTGATTCTTACATTAGAACATTTATATGTGTAAATATACATAAATCATTTGATTATTTAAAACATAAGTATGACTTATCTACCCTTAGTTCTTGAGATACCTTCAACATCATCCATGTGTTGCAAGAATGTCAAACACTTAAGGGTAAGGCTCATATTCTTTTTTATTTTATGCTGTTGCTAAAGTTCCCCCCACTAGAGACAAAATATTCTGTAGCTGGACTGGTCGAGAGATGCAGTTAGTATTCTGTCCAACACTTTATATTTTAGGAGACTGTAAAGTGTTATATTGTTTCCAACTTTATCTTCAGTAAGTTTTTGATAAATGTGATCTTGAACATAAAAGATAAGCACAGGTCTACAGCATTGTAGATCAGAGTATTGCTTGGTTGATGTATTCTGGTTGCTGTCTTGGAACACTTCACATTTGGACCCACGATTTCATCTCAGTCACTACTTTGTTCCTTACAGTTAGAGTAGTAGTCCTTACAATGGTGTCCTGAACAGTTTCATGTTTCATGCTTACTTCTGTTTAAGATTCTTTCCTGTGATGTTGTCCTCCACAGCCCACTAGACAAGGCAAGGTAACTTTAATTGGATGGCACAATTCATCCACCAGGGCAGTTCAAAGTTCCTTACAGGGTTGGAAAACATATATACAGGGTATAAAAATGTACTATTTATAAGTATATACTACTATATATTTATACATTACAATACTAAAGTGTGGTCACAACCTTATTTATAATATTCAGCACACTCTCACCATTTTAATTATCTTCCAATAAATTTAGCTATGCTGACATTGCTGAGCCTCCTGGTGGAAGATACACAAATAGTTATTGGGAAGCCAGTAGGCGAGCTTACTCTGACATATCATGTTGGCTGAATGCAGTCAGTGTAACATAATAATTTAACGAGCGTGGATTTGTAGACATGCGATGGCAGGTTGTCAGGGTGCGGGAGAGTTCATGATTATGTTAAATAAACTGTTGGTTAGAGTGCATGAGTGCAGGCCACTGGGGTAAATGCCATCGTGAAGAAAGAAAGCTGTGTGATTCCAGAAGAGAACAAAGTTGTCCACAAAAGCTAAGCTGCGGGCAGCGCAGGTTAACTGCAGCCAGGTGTTAAGTGCGGCTAAAGCACCCATGCCACGGACCAGGGGACCAGAAACAAAAGATCTGTTTACTGTGGCCTAATAGAGAGTCAAGGAGTTTGGTGAAGTCATGTTTTAGCATTTAAGAGGAATGACTGGTATGACTGTCTAAGAGTTGGAGTTGTCACCCCATATACAGTATGTAGGGTTGGATAGGGACAAGCTATTCCATACATTAACTAAAGAATCTTTAGATGAAGTTGCAGGAGGTCAAATCAAAACACAGTTTACCCCACCATTATTTATTGTTAATAACACGATCAATACATCAACATTTGCATCTTTCTGCATGCTTTTTTCTTACAGTTATCAGACATCTGGCTTTGTGATTCTGCCATGTGATTCATATGTTTAATGTAACAGGAGTGGGTAGCTGGAGCATTAATCATTTGTTATGATAAAAGCACGATTACAGAGAAGTTTTTACTGATAAGGAATCAAAACCATTGAGATCAATCTGGTTACTATATAATAATGAACCATAAGAACTCCCCAAAGATCAAACTTGTGGGGTGTAGAAATGTTTATCCCATGTAAATTTCTGCATTTTCAGAAGATTTGTAAGCTCTTTCAAGACACTCTCTTGAGCCTTTTTCCTGTTCTCATCTGTGGCTGTTTTAGATTTTGGCTGTGCTTGCTCTCTCACTTCTGCCTCATATTTAAGCAAGTTGTTCACACTTTCAGCTTCGGCACAGTGGCCATAGGGCCACTCCCTATTTTCACTTGTTGTCAAACCAAACAAATTCCCACATGATCTGCAAGGAGGCATTTCTCTTAGATCACTTAAGCTAAACGCCTGACACCTGACCTGCTCTGGAAGTTTAATGGTTCCATCAAAATATGGCTTTTGTGTCTTCTTTGGATAGTAGGTCATCACTGCACCAGCTACGTAACTGTCCCAGGCACTAAGGCAGGACGCAGCAATCATGATTCGCCCAGGATCCCTGCCAGAAGTGGACATGGAGACTCCATAGTACCTGTCTGAATTTGGGTCCTTGTTTTTCTGGGAGACACAGATGGTGGAGGAGACCAGATCTTTTGCTTCATCCTCCTTCAGTTGACGGATGAGCTTCTGCAGCTCTTCTATTATTGTGTCTTCATTCTCTTGTCCCATCAGATTGACAATCTGCAAGCAATCACAAATATTAAGCTGCTGTTATCCCCACATGTGCAGTATCATTTACAGAATCATGCTTTGTATTGAGGTGAAGTAGTAATTCTACACTTAATATGTTTAATAAGGAAGAATTGGATAATCTTTTGACTAACTATAATCTCACCATGTCGAGCACACATGAAATTGGACTCCGCTTGGGTAGTTCAGAGGAAAAAAGTTTAAAAGGCTGAGGGTAGCGGCCCTTCAACAAATTTAGCACGTTGTCATCACTCACAATATCTTTTGGGGAATATTGAGGAGTCTTGATGTGTCCCAAAAAGAAAATGCTGTGAAGAATCTGTTAAGTCAAAACACAAGTATTCTTTATAGAAAATACACGATGACACACACCCATGCATTATGTCCAGAACCAGAAATTTTCAGTCCTCATCAGACAAACCTCATCCACTAACACTGAAGGATGCTTTGGACTCATTTTCACCATTTCACTGATAATCAAGAAAGCATTCCTTCTGAAATGGTCTTCCTGTATCAGAAACTCTTCTTCTCTAAAAGAATAAACAAATTGTGGGAATTGAAAAGCAGAAAGCAACAGTAACAACTTGTGGTTCAGTAAACCAGCTGACTCACCTCATCATCCTCCGTTCAGCCTCCAGATGCAAATGGAAATGATACAAGGTACAAGGTAGGTTTAACGGTCACATTAGAACAGGGTTGTAAAATAAAATGTGGTTTGTAACTCCCTTCTGCTACATAGCAGACAATATACAATATAGAAATACAATTATAGAAAGGAAAACTCTAAACTATATTCCATGGAGGATTCATTTGATTTGAAAGTCTCATAGCTTGGTGGGAAAACACTGCTCTGCAGTTTGGTGGTGCGGAAGTTATAGTAAAACACATTACAACAATTACACATTTCACTGACACCAGACATTAAATTAGCAATGTAGAATGAACCATAATTTAAAATATTTACAAAGGAAACCACATAAAAGCAGCTATTCAACATTGTAAGTAAGGAATAAGTGAAACCGAGAGAAAAGAAATGAAGCCCTTCCCTCTGAACTACCCCTCCTTAGATTTCTCCGATGATGTCACGTAGAATCAAACAGTGAAGCTGCTGCCTTCGAAAGAGTTATTCTGTTCTACTGGAAAATCACAGGTTAACTCACTACTGAACAGAGAAGAGTAGTAAATAAAGGCCAGCTTTGCGCGCTCCTGCTCCTTATGTTCCTCACAAACATTAAGGAGCCTATGAAATTCATGATATTATCTATATACAAATAAATTAATTAAAGTATAGCGTATTATAATCCTTGGCCTTATATACTTGAAAGCAGATTGTGCAGAGAGTCTTGCTTTCTTGGTGGTGAGTTGTTATTTGTGTGAGAGGTCAAGTGTTTTCTGGGGTAGAGGTATGTTGTTGATTATGCGTGACTTGTGTTGTTTTCTGGGGTTTATCTTTTCACATCGCCCGCCATTGCGGCCACAGCAGTGCAATCACATGTCTAGTTCTACGAAACACCTTAAGCATTATTAGTTGCTCAAAAGTTTCATGCGCCCAGTGCTATTTTCTAGGGTTTTTTATTTAACAAAGCCCACCATAGGGGCTACAGTACTACAACAACAAATCTGAGCCGACGTCACATCTCTATATCGACAGATTTATCTGAGTTTCCGAGAGTTTGTCCGCAGCGTATTCCCTAGTGTGACATGCCAAGCAGGCCTGTTTTTGTTTTGTTTTCCTCCACCACTAATTTCTCCTCAGGTGTTGAGTGGGTGACTGGGAGAAAGGATGACAAAGGAGGTTGGAGCTGGCCAACCAGGATGGAACATGCGAAATAAAAGGAGCACCCTAGAAGAGTTTGGTCTCTCACCCCATGCAATCAGCCTTGTTTGTAGCAGCAGTGTACCACAGCCCTTTGTTACACATTGTAGTTTGTTGAATAAACTTTCATCTGCTGAGTTCTTCGTATCGGCACTTCTTTTATGTTGCACACCTCGAGCCGGGGTCGTAACATATTGGGGGCTCGTCCGGGATCTATTTTCAACTGGATGATTTTGTTCTTTTTTTTCTGGATTTTGTAGCTAATCTTTAGTTGGTTTAAATTGTGGACTGCTGTGTTCCTTTTGTTCTTGGTGAGTAAACTGCAACTATAGTTTCTGAGTGCTGTTGACCTGAAGTTTCAGTGATAACCCTGGTGAGTTAGGGAGTGTTCCAGCTGGACAGAGTTGTCTGTCCTTCCACCGGTTGACTCATTTATTATTTTGCCTTTTTAATTTTCGAGATGACTCTGGGTGGAGACATGTTTCTCTGGTGGGGGTAAGCATTTCAGGTCCTCGGCTGCAAGGCTAAGGATCACTGAAGTTCAGCTTTTAAAGACGCCTCGGGCCCGGTATGTCTCAGAAGATACATAGGTTTTAGTTAAAGCTAGGCAGGTACCAGGGGGTTTGCTTTTGATTATCAGCGCACTCAGGTGCTTTCTTGCTGTACACAGCAGTGGGTGATTTGTCAAATTAGGTGACGGTGCACTGTTGTATTAAACTGTGGTAACGTGTCTGACACCTTGTAGTTGAAATGAGTTTTGATTTAGAAGACTTTACAAAAAATCCCACTCTTGACAAAATTGATTCTTGTCGGAAGGACAAGGCTGAAGTTTCGCCTAGCCCGCCTTCAGATGGAGGCGCAGGAAAAGGAGATTGTTCGTAAAGCAGATTATGAGCTTCGATTACAGCTGCGCAAGCTGAAGGTTGACAAAGAAATCCGATTACGGGAGCTTGATGTGGAAGCCATGAAAATTTCTGCTGGTCATACATTACCACATACATTTGAGAAATCAGTACCTTTGCAGACAGTGCCTGGAAAACAAAGTTTCAATGTCAGTAAAAACATTGTGTTAGTACCAACCTTTAGAGAGTCCGAAGTTGACTCTTATTTAACTGCCTTTGAAAGGATTGCTACTGCACTAAACTGGCCCAAAGACATGTGGCCTATTTTGCTTCAATGCAAGCTGGTGGATAAAGCGCAAGAGGTTGTCTCCTCTCTGTCAATAGCTGACAGCATGCAGTACGATGTGCTTAAAGAGTCAATTTTGCGTGCTTATGAACTTGTACCTGAAGCGTATCGTCAAAAATTCAGGAATCACAAAAAATCCAGTGGCCAAACATTTGTTGAGTTTGCATGTGAAAAGGGGGTTCTCTGGTGTGCTGCTAATGAAGTCAAGGATAATTTTGAGTCCCTTCGACAGTTAATGTTGTTGGAAGATTTTAAGAATGCTTTACCGGAGAAAATGGTGGTGTTCTTAAATGAGCAAAAGGTGACTTCTTTGTCTAAGGCAGCAGTCTTGGCTGATGAGTTTGTGTTAACTCACAAGAATGTGTTTGTGTCTTCCTTTCGTCCAGACAGAGGTTCAGGCCCGCGACATGAGAAGCTTAACCCTGGCCATCCTCCTTTTGAAAAGGCGAGGGGGCCACAGTCACCTCCACGTGGTGACCGAGAATGCTTCTACTGTTACAAGAAGGGTCATGTGATTGCTGATTGTTTATCTTTAAAGCATAAACGTACTCAGCCCAGCATTTCACAGTCAAAAGGCATGGGTTTAATTAATACTAAGCCACTGTCAGAAAAAGAGTCACCGGATGATATTGATCCCTGTTTTAAACCCTTCATTCTAGAAGGCTTTGTGTCACTAACTGGAGACCCAAAAGATTGTCTGCCGGTAACTATTCTTGGGACACAGGTGGGTCACAGTCCATTATTAGGGAGGGGATCTTACCTTTGTCATCTGAATCATCATGTCAGTCAGGTGCAGTTGTCCAGGGTGTGGGAATGAGATTTATCCCTGCTCCGTTGCATCATGTACATGTTGAGTCTCCTCTAGTTAGTGGACTGTTTAATGTTGCTGTCCTTCCTGCCTTGCCCATCAAAGGTGTTGACCTCATTCTGAGCAATGACCTCGCTGGGGGCAAGGTTATGCCAGTGCCTGAGGTACTAGATAACCCAGAAACAAACCTAGAGATGCCCTGACCTCTTCACAGGTGAGAATGAAGCGGCAGTATGACCGGAAAGCGGTCGTCCGCTTGTTCAATCCGGGTGATAAAGTTATGCTTCTTTCACCTATACCTGGTTCTGCTCTCTCCACTAAATTTTCTGGTCCATATGTTGTAGTGAAGAGACTCAGTAACACAAACTACCTCATTCAAACCCCTGACCGCAGGCGGCAGACCCGGTTGTGTCATGCCAATATGTTGAAGCTGTACCACGCCAAGGATGACCAGAACATGTCATCCACATCCAATGTTGTGAAGTCGGTCTCACCAGTGGCATCGTTCACAAAGGTGGGCTCTTCTGATAATGAGGATGGGCTAGTGATGGGTAATGCTAAGCCACAGGGGGTGAGGCTAGGTAACAAGGAGATCTTGTCTAATTTGCCCCACTACTTGTCTCATCTTTCTGATACCCAACATGGTGAGGTTGAAAAACTCATACAGGAGTTCCCATGTTTGTTTAATGATGTCCCCTCTCAGACCTCGGTCATAGTTCATGACATAGTTCTGACTAACCCGAAACCGATCAAGCAGCATGCGTATCGGGTCAGTCCAGCCAAGAGGGAAGTCATGAAGAAGGAGGCTGACTACCTTGTGAGAAATGGATTTGCAGTACTAAGCTCTGGTCCATGTGTAATGCCCCTACTACTTTTCAGAGACTGGTGACAAAGTACTGGGCGGTATTTCAAACTGCAGAGCATACTTAGATGACATCGTTGTATATTCTGATGACTGGGTCAGTCACGTGACAACCCTGAGGGAAGTTTTTGAACGCCTGTCCGCCGCATCCCTAACGCTTAACCTTGCCAAATGTGAGTTTGGGAAGGGTACTGTTCTCTATCTTGGTCAGCAGGTTGGTCGAGGACAGGTGTTTCCTGTTGATGCAAAGATCAAGGCCATTGCTGTATTTCCTGTACCATCTACCAGGAGAGAGCTGCGTCGTTTCCTTGGGATGGCTGGGTACTATCGCCGGTTCTGTAAAAACTTCTCCTCTGTGGCAGCCATATTGACTGCCTTAACCAGTCCTTCAAAACCCTTCATTTGGTCTGGTGAGTGCCAACGGTCTTTTGAAAATCTGAAAAGCATCCTGTGTTGTGCTCCTGTCCTGTCTGCCCCAGACTTCTCTGTGCCCTTCAGTCTGTGGTGCTGCTCAGGTGTTATGAGAGCCCAGGTTGCTCTGATCTTCTGCATTGTTGGGTCTGGCGTATCACATCTGGCTTTGCACATGTCATTGGTTGACGCCGCATGCCCTGCGATGTGACTACTGCGTAATTGTCTTTTTATATGCAGTATATGGTAATTGCACATCGCGATGACAATGCTGAATCAATCTATTTTGCATGCATTTTTTTTTGCATGCACTAGGGCATTCTCCCACACATCTCAAACATCAGCGTGTTCGATAATACGGGGTCATTCTGTACTCACACGATATTTATTGATCAGTTTACTGAACTAAACATAATCACCTTCATGATGGTAGGATTTATTTCAGGGCTCTTTGTTTTAGACTGCATTAGTTTAAACTAGTTTCTGATAAACTGGAAACTATTGTCATGCAGATATCTTCTCTGGTCTAAATTCTCTCTACACATTTAGAATTTAGACCAACCTCAAGAAAAAGTAGTTTGTTAGAGAATGAGTGGGTAAGGGACAATACTGTAAATGCACCCTCATATATGAGTGTGATGGTGATGTGGGTTAATTATCTGAGCATCTGTTTCACTTACAAACATGCTTTAATGCTTTACAGGGTGATTCAACAAAGCCTACATTAGATCAGAGATGAGCTGTCAAATAAGCATGACTCAGATTTTCCAGACATGAAACACCAAGGGCAACTTCAGTGAAAATATTACTAATGTCTAACTGCAACCATCTGTGTGTGTGCAAGCGAGTGTGACGCAGCATTCATCATCTGTGTACATACTGTACGTGTGTGTGCTCCCATAGCAAAGAATGTTTGAGAATCCTACCAAGGCTAGGTCCTTTCATCTCTGCAAGGCAGGAGGATTGCCTGTTTAAACAAAGATTAGAGCTGTGAATTACATAAGGTTTAAAGAAAAATTAACATTCTGTCTCCTGGACGTCACAAAGTGCCAGTGTTTTCATCGGGACAGGCTGAGAGTTCAGACAGGATTTCCCTCACTGGCAGCAGTTGGCTACACAAATATAGACCTGAAAACAAACATGTTATTGGAGAGAGGTCCACGGGAAAAGCTAGACAAAGCCTCTGTGACGTAGCAGCTGAAAATAAATCGCATTTCCCATCACTCACCAGACGTTTCCTGAAGAATGGCATTTTGTTTGGTTCTCAAGACTTCTGATTCTGAAATGACCTCCATGGCAACACACAAATCAACACACAAGTACAAACTGGCTACGTAATAATAAATTAGTTTAACAACATTTGGCTTTAATGTGGTGGAATTTGTCTTGATTAAGTTTCTTCCCCGAAACATAACAATCTGAACAAACCTGCAATGATATTTTGTTTTGTTTGCACAATTTTTCATCAGTGTTTTGGATTTATTTGAAGCCAGAAAGTGTATTTCTCCAAGAGCTGAATATGCCTAGATTAATAACTGATGACAGGTGAATGTGAATTATTTGCTCTTCTTGTTGCACTTTGATTCCTGTCTTTCCTTTAAAACACGGGAAGTTATTTTGTAAACCACCGCATGCTTCCTGTATTTGGTGTGAAAAAAGTGGTCTGGTCCATCAGATGTGAAGGATTCTGCTAGGAAGTGGATCACAACAAAACATCCAGGACAGTGTAGTGATAACTTACACTCCATTTCATAAAATCCAGTCCAGAGTAATGAGAAAATTGGATCTTGCTTGTACTGGCTTAAAGTCTATGTAATCAAGTGTCAACTGAACATGGTTGAGCTGCCACCTAGTGGTGCATCTTTGCCACTGAGACAAGCCCACCGGAGGAAAAAAAACATGAAATCACCTGTCAAAATCTCTCAAGGTTATGTTCAATTTATATAAGATGTGTAAACAGTTTGATATGTTCTAAACTGCTTTCTAGTTACAAAATATACTATACTCAAACTTGACTCCACCACAAATACACATAGTAAATATGACAGATTTCTGTGTGTCCTGTAGAAGCATGATATTCTCCCACAATGCCATGTACAAAGGAAGTGTCAGCACACAATTCATTAGCTCTCACACATCTTCACAGAAGAACAGTCCACGTAATCGAGACGAATTGTGTTCTGAAAATCAATTATTTGTTTTATTCTCTCCCATCAGAAATCCCCTTCAGGTATTTCAAGAGATCTGATAAGGGCTGAGAAAGCAGAAAAAATTCCTTTTGGGAATGGAAAACACGGGAGATTTAGAGCTTCCAAAATGTTTATTTTATTATTACGTGTATAGTTTGAGGAACATTGTTCATGGTCCCCCTGAGAGAGTCTCTCTCAGCTCCTCTCCCCGTCACATCCATTAAGTCATCTAAACATTTTTTCTCCTAATTCTATCTCACATTGAGAGTACACAGAGGAGAACTGTAAGGTTGTTCATTTTTGTATTGTATTTGAGGAAATCCAAAGCAAAGCATTGGAAGGAATGAATGGAAAATTGATTCTTACATTAGAACAATTATATGTGTAAATATACATAAATCATTTGATTATTTAAAACAAAAATATGACTTATCTACCCTTAGTTCTTGAGATACCTTCAACATCATCCATATGTTGCAAGAATGTCAAACACTTAAGGGTAAGGCTCATATTCTTTTTTATTTTACGCTGTTGCTAAAGTTCCCCCACTAGGTTATAGAGACTCAGTTCAAAATATTCTGTAGCTGGACTGGTCGAGAGATGCAGTTAGTATTCTGTCCAACACTTTATATTTTAGGAGACTGTAAAGTGTTATATTGTTTCCAACTTTATCTTCAGTAAGTTTTTGATAAATGTGATCTTGAACATAAAAGATAAGCACAGGTCTACAGCATTGTAGATCAGAGTATTGCTTGGTTGATGTATTCCGGTTGCTGTCTTGGAACACTTCACATTTGGACCCACGATTTCATCTCAGTCACTACTTTGTTCCTTACAGTTAGAGTAGTAGTCCTTACAATGGTGTCCTGAACAGTTTCATGTTTCATGCTTACTTCTGTTTAAGATTCTTTCCTGTGATGTTACTGATCTTCTCTCTCTGATGTCAATATCTGTAGCTGCTCAGGCTTGTCCTCCACAGCCCACTAGACAAGGCAAGGTAACTTTAATTGGATGGCACAATTCATCCACCAGGGCAGTTCAAAGTTCCTTACAGGGTAGGAAAACATATATACAGGGTATAAAAATGTACTATTTATAAGTATATACTACTATATATATATACATTACAATACTAAAGTGTGGCAACAAACTCATTTATAATATTCAGCCCACTCTCACCATTTTAATTATCTTTCAATAAATTTAGCTATGCTGACATTGCTGAGCCTCCTGGTGGAAGATACACAAATAGTTATTGAGAAGCCAGTAGGCGAGCTTACTCTGACATATCATGTTGGCTGAATGCAGTCAGTGTAACATAATAATTTAACGAGCTTGGATTTGTAGACATGCGATGGCAGGTTGTCAGGGTGCGGGAGAGTTCATGATTATGTTAAATAAACTGTTGGTTAGAGTGCATGAGTGCAGGCCACTGGGGTAAATGCCATCGTGAAGAAAGAAAGCTGTGTGATTCCAGAAGAGAACAAAGTTGTCCACAAAAGCTAAGCTGCGGGCAGCGCAGGTTAACTGCAGCCAGGTGTTAAGTGCGGGTAAAGCATCCATGCCACGGACCAGGGGACCAGAAACAAAAGATCTATTTACTGTGGCCTAATAGAGAGTCAAGGAGTTTGGTGAAGTCATGTTTTAGCATTTAAGAGGAATGACTAGTATGACTGTCTAAGAGTTGGAGTTGTCACCCCATATACAGTATGTAGGGTTGGATAGGGGCAAGCTATTCCATACATTAACTAAAGAATCTTTAGATGAAGTTGCAGGAGGTCAAATCAAAACACAGTTTACCCCACCATTATTTATTGTTAATAACACGATCAATACATCAACATTTGCATCTTTCTGCATGCTTTTTTCTTACAGTTATCAGACATCTGGCTTTGTGATTCTGCCATGTGATTCATATGTTTAATGTAACAGGAGTGGGTAGCTGGAGCATTAATCATTTGTTATGATAAAAGCACGATTTATTGACAGCTCTGGTCGTCACATCAATTTCACAATCACAAAAAACTTTGATTTAATTAGAGGGTTACAGAGAAGTTTTTACTGATAAGGAATCAAAACCATTGAGATCAATCTGGTTACTATATAATAATGAACCATAAGAACTCCCCAAAGATCAAACTTGTGGGGTGTAGAAATGTTTATCCCATGTAAATTTCTGCATTTTCAGAAGATTTGTAAGCTCTTTCAAGACACTCTCTTGAGCCTTTTTCCTGTTCTCATCTGTGGCTGTTTTAGATTTTGGCTGTGCTTGCTCTCTCACTTCTTTCTCATATTTAAGCAAGTTGCTCACACTTTCAGCTTCGGCACAGTGGCCATAGGGCCACTCCCTATTTTCACTTGTTGTCAAACCAAACAAATTCCCACATGATCTGCAAGGAGGCATTTCTCTTAGATCACTTAAGCTAAACGCCTGACACCTGACCTGCTCTGGAAGTTTAATGGTTCCATCAAAATATGGCTTTTGTGTCTTCTTTGGATAGTAGGTCATCACTGCACCAGCTACGTAACTGTCCCAGGCACTAAGGCAGGACGCAGCAATCATGATTCGCCCAGGATCCCTGCCAGAAGTGGACATGGAGACTCCATAGTACCTGTCTGAATTTGGGTCCTTGTTTTTCTGGGAGACACAGATGGTGGAGGAGACCAGATCTTTTGCTTCATCCTCCTTCAGTTGACGGATGAGCTTCTGCAGCTCTTCTATTATTGTGTCTTCATTCTCTTGTCCCATCAGATGGACAATCTGCAAGCAATCACAAATATTAAGCTGCTGTTATCCCCACATGTGCAGTATCATTTACAGAGTCATGCTTTGTATTGAGGTGAAGTAGTAATTCTACACTTAATATGTTTAATAAGGAAGAATTGGATAATCTTTTGACTAACTATAATCTCACCATGTCGAGCACACATGAAATTGGACTCCGCTTGGGTAGTTCAGAGGAAAAAAGTTTAAAAGGCTGAGGGTAGCGGCCCTTCAACAAATTTAGCATGTTGTCATCACTCACAATATCTTTTGGGGAATATTGAGGAGTCTTGATGTGTCCCAAAAAGAAAATGCTGTGAAGAATCTGTTAAGTCAAAACACAAGTATTCTTTATAGAAAATACACGATGACACACACCCATGCATTATGTCCAGAACCAGAAATTTTCAGTCCTCATCAGACAAACCTCATCCACTAACACTGAAGGATGCTTTGGACTCATTTTCACCATTTCACTGATAATCAAGAAAGCATTCCTTCTGAAATGGTCTTCCTGTATCAGAAACTCTTCTTCTCTAAAAGAATAAACAAATTGTTTTTAGGGAATTGAAAAGCAGAAAGCAACAGTAACAACTTGTGGTTCAGTAAACCAGCTGACTCACCTCATCATCCTCCGTTCAGCCTCCAGATGCAAATGGAAATGATACAAGGTACAAGGTAGGTTTAACGGTCACATTAGAACAGGGTTGTAAAATAAAATGTGGTTTGTAACTCCCTTCTGCTACATAGCAGATAATATACAATATAGAAATACAATTATAGAAAGGAAAACTCTAAACTATATTCCATGGAGGATTCATTTGATTTAAAAGTCTCATAGCTTGGTGGGAAAACACTGCGACAGTTATAGTAAAACACATTTCACATTACACATTTCACTGACACCAGACATTAAATTAGCAATGTAGAATGAACCATAATGTAATATTGGCAAAGGAAACCACATAAAAGCAGCTACTCACCATTGTCAGTAAGGAGTGAAACCGAAAGAAAAGAAATGAAGCCCTTCCCTCTGAACTACCCCTCCTTAGATTTCTCCGATGATGTCATGTAGAATCAATCAGTGAAGCTGCTGCCTTCGAAAGAGTTATTCTGTTCTACTGGAAAATCACAGGTTAACTCACTACTGAACAGAGAAGGAAAGCTTTGTAAATATGTTAATGACCAAGGAGTGCCATTGAAAAAATAATTGTCAGATGGCTAGATAAGGATATTTCTCTTCTGTACGTGACAGGATGTGGTGCTAAAAGTGCTGCCAATAAACAGCAGCATCCACTGAACTGAAAGCAGCAATGCTCACACAGTAACAACTGTTTTATTTATGCTTTACTGTACATGTTCATGATTGCAACTCAGCGTGGTGGCTGATGTTAAAGCTCCATTGAAAACCATGTTTTCTGCACGATTATGAATTAAATATGTAGATGTGACAAATTATGTTCCACATTTCTTCCTCACATTTCTTCAAGTTAGTGGATCCAAATATGTATTTTTATTTGTGGTGTCTGTGTATCTTTTCCACATGAACTCCTCTCAGTTATTCAAGCTAGTCACTGAAGTCAGTCTAAAACCAGCTTCCTCATTTGTCAGTGTTTATTTAAGCCTCCCTGAACACAACAGAAACCTTTTTTTTTAACAATTCAATGTACTACCCACAAAAAACTGTTACAGAGGAATAATATAATAATAATGTTCACACAGTGTTTTTTAAACACTAAAATTCACAAAAAGAGATCGCAAACAGATATATAGTATTACTATTTTAATAAGCAGTGAGTCTTTTTTTATTTTATTAATCATACATATCAATCAACAGATATATTACATCCCTTTATTGATAACAGAACACCATGCATTTTCTGTGTGGTTTAATAAAGTGTGCATTTCTATATTGACATGGACATAATCAACAACCAACAACATCACAAGAACAAAACCCAAAAGCATTAACTGCTGGATCCTGGAGAGAGAGAGAGAGAGAGAGAGGGAGAGAGAGAGAGAGAGAGAGAGAGAGAGAGAGAGAGAGGAAACCAATCAGTACAGAATAAATGAGTGCGACACAGAAACAAAGCAGGCAAAGTATGACCTTAATCCTTACCCTGCAGCAAAGATAAAATACTCACATTTGATTTTGAGATTCTGCAGGAATCTGGACTTTTGTGCTGTCACCAGTTTATGATGAGCTTGGTCCAAACTCTTCCCCACAGCACCCTCCCTCACTTTGACCCAGTCCTTCTCGGTCTACACACAACAAACAACATCAAACAAACATTGTCAGTGCCCACAGGTGATCAATAATCAAAGCTTGTACCCAGCAACTTCACTGTAACTTTTTACCATATCTTTGAAGGCCTCCCCGTTGTAATAGCTCGTGGATGCTGGATACTCTATTCTCTTTTCACCTAGCTGCTTTAGGCTTGAAGCCACCTCGTGCAGTTCCTCTCCATCGTAGGCATACAGCTTTCTGTCCTCACAGGTCATCAGGACGAGCTGGTCACACGGGCACGAGGTCTCCTCCACTACACCTACAACCTGCATGCTTACTTCTTTAGGAAGGTAGAATTTACCCCACCCATTGACTTCATTACGTTTGTCTCTGTAAATGGTGTCACTCAGGTCTCCTATTGTCAGTGTGGCACCAGCTGGACTCTCTAAGACCAAAGACTTGCCTTTATGTTTGGACACAAAGCCTGACACGGATCCAAGGTAATCTCGACCTGTAACACATGCCAGAGTTTGACTGAATATGGAAAATACTTTTCATAGCAAGGCTTTATGATGTGTGAGGCAAACATGTGTGTCGTCTACCTCTGTCTCTGTTGAACTGCAGGAGATGAAGTAGATCCCCTGGTGCCCTGAAAGGTACAAAAACAGAGCTAAAAGAAGAGCTGATAGGTTCATGACTCCACTCTGTTCTCATACACACATCTCTGATTCAGGTCTTCATCCTCAAGGAACAGTCAGTGTTTGCTCCGTCTTTGTAACTGATCTTACATCGTATGTTTTATCTACATTTACCTGCTTCATCCTGCTTCTTCTTGTCTCTACTTCCTCCCACCAAACCCTTTGACGCAACGTCTTGTTTCAGTTAAGTCAATGCAAGTCAATTTATCTTCAACATTTCCTCTGGATAATTTTGTCGTTGTTATTTGTGACACATTTGCTATTATTTGTGATGTTGGGAGCATCTACTTATTGCTTCACATTTAAACTCCTTTCAAGAATTCAAACTAAATGCACTCTAACAAGATACATGGGAATAAAGGTGTACTACTTGTACACTTCTCTTCTCTGGTACTTTGTTATATGTCATTGCTCATTTAAACCTCATTGAACAGAAAACGGGTTCTTACAAGCAGACGTTCACTGGACCGCCCGCCATTCGGGCTCTCTGTCACCTAGAAAACAAAATTTGTATTGTTAAAAGTAGTGATAGTAAAAACCTTTACTCAAGTACTGAAAGTACTATTACTACAATAGAATAATATTATAATGTTACCAGAGACCAACTGAGCTTTTAAAAAAACTAATCAATATACTGTATCAATAAAGAGCAACTGGTAATCTGTCAGATACATTTTAATAGAAATAAAACGAAATACAAAGGGGGGACCTGTTGGCCTATAGATAAAATGTGGGCCTTATAGTCCTTCAGAGGTCCCATAGGGACCTTTTTTGCATGTCACACCCTTTCTTATTTGGGTTTAAACTTACATACATTTTATCTCCAGGTTATTGATAAAAAATTAACACTAATAACCTTTGCTAATATAGTTGTGGCTAGCGGGCATACAAGATTTTATCATGGCTGCAACATCGGGGGCAGTTTTAACACTGTGTTACAATTACCCCCAAGTCACATGGCCCAATGTAAGCAGCTTGTTTGTCTGTGTTGACATACGTTTGTTAGAAAAATAACATTTCACAAAATTTTAATTTAAACCTACAAGCATAGTCTATATATTTTCACTTTCATTACCTCTAAATCCAGAATCGAAAGCTCCGGACCTTGTTCTAATTCTTTATAATTTTATCAAATGTCAAAATTGTAATAACATCCAAATTTGAAAACAATGGTAAGAGGAACAGAAACAGCGCATGCCTTCCATAATCACCATTAATATTAGAGAAAGCCTCCTCAAATCCTTCCTCACACGTTATTTAAACAAACTCAAATAATAAGTTACCACAGCTGAAGAACGGACTCCTTCCTGTCCTCGGTTAAAATATGACACTCCTGGAGCGTTTACGCCCTTGCTGCGGTGCGGTTGGGTTGGTAAACAGCCGCTCTCTGGTCCGCCTCGAAGGTGTGGTCTCGGATCGCTGCCAAGTGATCTCTGCAGCAGACCTTTTTTTAAGGTTTGAAACTGTGTGACAGCAGGAAGCCTAGGCTACCACTGTAGGCTTTGTGTCATTTTATTAGTTAAAAATCGTTTAGCGCTTTGCTACCAACATGTCGACAAGCAGGGGACAAACTGGAGTCACGACGAAGCCTCCTGAATATTTGGCTATGGCGGGATAACCTACGGAAGGAGACTGTTGTGTGACATCTATGTGTGGATAGGCTACTCCTTTGCCAATGTAGGCTACATCTTCATCAATAAGTTGCCACCTAGTCGCCACAAGTCGTCCGACGCCCCCCCCCCAAACTATATTGAGTAAATGTATTCAATACATGGCATAATAATAATAGCTTGGTGGGAAAACACTGCTCTGCAGTTTGGTGGTGCAGCAGTTATAGTAAAACACATTACAATAATTACACATTTCATTGACACCACACCAGTAGAATGAACCATAATTTAAAATATTGGCAAAGGAAACCACATAAAAGCAGCTACTCACCATTGTAAGTAAGGAGTAAGTGAAACCGAGAGAAAAGAAATGAAGCCCTTCCCTCTGAACTACCACTCATTAGATTTCTCCGATGATGTTGTAAAATCAGACAGTGAAGCTGCTGCCTTCGAAAGAGTTACTCTATTCTACTGGAAAATCACAGGTTAACTCACTACTGAACAGAGAAGGAAAGCTTTGTAAATATGTTAATGACCAAGGAGTGCCATTGAAAAGATAATTGTCAGATGGCTAGATAAGGATATTTCTCTTCTGTACGTGACAGGATGTGGTGCTAAAAGTGCTGCCAATAAACAGCAGCATCCACTGAACGGAAAGCAGCAATGCTCACACAGTAACAACTGTTTTATTTATGCTTTACTGTACATGTTTAATTTAGCTTTTATTTGTGGTGTCTGTGTATCTTTTCCACGTGAACTCCTCTCAGTTATTCAAGCTAGTCACTGAAGTCAGTCTAAACAATTCAATGTACTACCCACAAAAAACTGTTATTGTTAACAGAGGTAGAAGAAGAGCTAATCATATTCATACATTAAATGTTCAATACCACAGAGGAATAATATAATAATAATGTTCACACAGTGTTTTTTAAACACTAAAATTCACAAAAAGAGATCGCAAACAGATATATAGTATTACTATTTTAATAAGCAGTGAGTCTTTTTTTATTTTATTAATCATACATATCAATCAACAGATATATTACATCCCTTTATTGATAACAGAACACCATGCATTTTCTGTGTGGTTTAATAAAGTGTGCATTTCTATATTGACATGGACATAATCAACAACCAACAACATCACAAGAACAAAACCCAAAAGCATTAACTGCTGGATCCTGGAGAGAGAGAGAGAGAGAGAGGGAGAGAGAGAGAGAGAGAGAGAGAGAGAGAGAGCGAGAGAGAGGAAACCAATCAGTACAGAATAAATGAGTGCGACACAGAAACAAAGCAGGCAAAGTATGACCTTAATCCTTACCCTGCAGCAAAGATAAAATACTCACATTTGATTTTGAGATTCTGCAGGAATCTGGACTTTTGTGCTGTCACCAGTTTATGATGAGCTTGGTCCAAACTCTTCCCCACAGCACCCTCCCTCACTTTGACCCAGTCCTTCTCGGTCTACACACAACAAACAACATCAAACAAACATTGTCAGTGCCCACAGGTGATCAATAATCAAAGCTTGTACCCAGCAACTTCACTGTAACTTTTTACCATATCTTTGAAGGCCTCCCCGTTGTAATAGCTCGTGGATGCTGGATACTCTATTCTCTTTTCACCTAGCTGCTTTAGGCTTGAAGCCACCTCGTGCAGTTCCTCTCCATCGTAGGCATACAGCTTTCTGTCCTCACAGGTCATCAGGACGAGCTGGTCACACGGGCACGAGGTCTCCTCCACTACACCTACAACCTGCATGCTTACTTCTTTAGGAAGGTAGAATTTACCCCACCCATTGACTTCATTACGTTTGTCTCTGTAAATGGTGTCACTCAGGTCTCCTATTGTCAGTGTGGCACCAGCTGGACTCTCTAAGACCAAAGACTTGCCTTTATGTTTGGACACAAAGCCTGACACGGATCCAAGGTAATCTCGACCTGTAACACATGCCAGAGTTTGACTGAATATGGAAAATACTTTTCATAGCAAGGCTTTATGATGTGTGAGGCAAACATGTGTGTCGTCTACCTCTGTCTCTGTTGAACTGCAGGAGATGAAGTAGATCCCCTGGTGCCCTGAAAGGTACAAAAACAGAGCTAAAAGAAGAGCTGATAGGTTCATGACTCCACTCTGTTCTCATACACACATCTCTGATTCAGGTCTTCATCCTCAAGGAACAGTCAGTGTTTGCTCCGTCTTTGTAACTGATCTTACATCGTATGTTTTATCTACATTTACCTGCTTCATCCTGCTTCTTCTTGTCTCTACTTCCTCCCACCAAACCCTTTGACGCAACGTCTTGTTTCAGTTAAGTCAATGCAAGTCAATTTATCTTCAACATTTCCTCTGGATAATTTTGTCGTTGTTATTTGTGACACATTTGCTATTATTTGTGATGTTGGGAGCATCTACTTATTGCTTCACATTTAAACTCCTTTCAAGAATTCAAACTAAATGCACTCTAACAAGATACATGGGAATAAAGGTGTACTACTTGTACACTTCTCTTCTCTGGTACTTTGTTATATGTCATTGCTCATTTAAACCTCATTGAACAGAAAACGGGTTCTTACAAGCAGACGTTCACTGGACCGCCCGCCATTCGGGCTCTCTGTCACCTAGAAAACAAAATTTGTATTGTTAAAAGTAGTGATAGTAAAAACCTTTACTCAAGTACTGAAAGTACTATTACTACAATAGAATAATATTATAATGTTACCAGAGACCAACTGAGCTTTTAAAAAAACTAATCAATATACTGTATCAATAAAGAGCAACTGGTAATCTGTCAGATACATTTTAATAGAAATAAAACGAAATACAAAGGGGGGACCTGTTGGCCTATAGATAAAATGTGGGCCTTATAGTCCTTCAGAGGTCCCATAGGGACCTTTTTTGCATGTCACACCCTTTCTTATTTGGGTTTAAACTTACATACATTTTATCTCCAGGTTATTGATAAAAAATTAACACTAATAACCTTTGCTAATATAGTTGTGGCTAGCGGGCATACAAGATTTTATCATGGCTGCAACATCGGGGGCAGTTTTAACACTGTGTTACAATTACCCCCAAGTCACATGGCCCAATGTAAGCAGCTTGTTTGTCTGTGTTGACATACGTTTGTTAGAAAAATAACATTTCACACATCTCTGATTCAGGTCTTCATCCTCAAGGAACAGTCAGTGTTTGCTCCGTCTTTGTAACTGATCTTACATCGTATGTTTTATCTACATTTACCTGCTTCATCCTGCTTCTTCTTGTCTCTACTTCCTCCCACCAAACCCTTTGACGCAACGTCTTGTTTCAGTTAAGTCAATGCAAGTCAATTTATCTTCAACATTTCCTCTGGATCAATAAAGAGCAACTGGTAATCTGTCAGATACATTTTAATAGAAATAAAACGAAATACAAAGGGGGGACCTGTTGGCCTATAGATAAAATGTGGGCCTTATAGTCCTTCAGAGGTCCCATAGGGACCTTTTTTGCATGTCACACCCTTTCTCATGTGGGTCTGTCTCTACTGTGTCAATAAAAACAAATAACGACATTTCACAAAACAAAAGTTGAAGGCAATTGTAAAACATTCAGTTTCTCCAATCAGAAACAAGCAAGGGGGATGACACTTAATCTGCACATGCTCAGTAGGATTCTCTCTCTGCCTGTGGAAAAGGAGCAGGATCATTTCATCTCAGCAGAAGTTTTTAACAAAATACTGATTTTGAGATATGAAAGTTACTTTTGGGATTTTTCTTCTGGTGTCTAAAGTTTAGATGACTGCAAATTTAAACTTCCATACATTTTATCTCCAGGTTATTGATAAAAAATTAACACTAATAACCTTTGCTAATATAGTTGTGGCTAGCGGGCATACAAGATTTTACAATTACCCCCAAGTCACATGGCCCAATGTAAGCAGCTTGTTTGTCTGTGTTGACATACGTTTGTTAGAAAAATAACATTTCACACATCTCTGATTCAGGTCTTCATCCTCAAGGAACAGTCAGTGTTTGCTCCGTCTTTGTAACTGATCTTACATCGTATGTTTTATCTACATTTACCTGCTTCATCCTGCTTCTTCTTGTCTCTACTTCCTCCCACCAAACCCTTTGACGCAACGTCTTGTTTCAGTTAAGTCAATGCAAGTCAATTTATCTTCAACATTTCCTCATATATTTGCTAATATAGTTGTGGCTAGCGGGCATACAAGATGTTACAATTACCCCCAAGTCACATGGCCCAATGTAAGCAGCTTGTTTGTCTGTGTTGACATACGTTTGTTAGAAAAATAACATTTCACACATCTCTGATTCAGGTCTTCATCCTCAAGGAACAGTCAGTGTTTGCTCCGTCTTTGTAACTGATCTTACATCGTATGTTTTATCTACATTTACCTGCTTCATCCTGCTTCTTCTTGTCTCTACTTCCTCCCACCAAACCCTTTGACGCAACGTCTTGTTTCAGTTAAGTCAATGCAAGTCAATTTATCTTCAACATTTCCTCTGGATCAATAAAGAGCAACTGGTAATCTGTCAGATACATTTTAATAGAAATAAAACGAAATACAAAGGGGGGACCTGTTGGCCTATAGATAAAATGTGGGCCTTATAGTCCTTCAGAGGTCCCATAGGGACCTTTTTTGCATGTCACACCCTTTCTCATGTGGGTCTGTCTCTACTGTGTCAATAAAAACAAATAACGACATTTCACAAAACAAAAGTTGAAGGCAATTGTAAAACATTCAGTTTCTCCAATCAGAAACAAGCAAGGGGGATGACACTTAATCTGCACATGCTCAGTAGGATTCTCTCTCTGCCTGTGGAAAAGGAGCAGGATCATTTCATCTCAGCAGAAGTTTTTAACAAAATACTGATTTTGAGATATGAAAGTTACTTTTGGGATTTTTCTTCTGGTGTCTAAAGTTTAGATGACTGCAAATTTAAACTTCCATACATTTTATCTCCAGGTTATTGATAAAAAATTAACACTAATAACCTTTGCTAATATAGTTGTGGCTAGCGGGCATACAAGATTTTATCATGGCTGCAACATCGGGGGCAGTTTTAACACTGTGTTACAATTACCCCCAAGTCACATGGCCCAATGTAAGCAGCTTGTTTGTCTGTGTTGACATACGTTTGTTAGAAAAATAACATTTCTAAAAATTTAAATTTAAACCTACATTTAAAAAGGGTGTATTATAATAAAATTATTTGTTCTAGTATAAACAAATCATCAATTAACATAGTCCAACATTCGTTGTATTATATAATGTGTTTGACAGAAAGTGTGAATATTATATAGGCCTAAATCTGCAAAAGCAACGTTCCTTTCATTGTCAGTTTGTCTGTATAGTGAATTTAAAGCAGTTGATTGCATAAGACCCCGCAAAACCAAACAGAACAAGTTCACTTGTAAAAAGCAATTTTATGAAATCAGAACAGAAAACTTAGCAGAAGATGCCTGACATCTAAAATAATTTGAATCATATGAAAAAAAAAACTCTTAAGGAAAATTATTAGCAGTAAAGTCATTACTTTGAGGTAGGCTTTAACTTGAGATACAATGGGTCAATATGACTTATTTTTCAGTGTTACAATTGTTCCTGCAAAGTGGGCAATTGTAACTCTGATTTGTTGCATTTAATTAAATATTATAGTGTTGTCCTTATTAGTGAAAATATATCAACTGTATTATTAATAAGTGGACATTTATATGTTTATTGTATCAACAGATGACTAATGTATTTCAAGTAGTCTGTGAGTTATTAAGGAAAATGTAAAAAATGTTACAACTGCCCCAGGTCTCCCCTACTCAGCTAAGTGGAACTACAAATTGTAAGGCTTTCAGTGCACATATATTATGCATTATATGCGGCGTCAGTGTGCCAGCATACTGCACCATATGCTACAAGCATAGTCTATATATTTTCACTTTCATTACCTCTAAATCCAGAATCGAAAGCTCCGGACCTTGTTCTAATTCTTTATAATTTTATCAAATGTCAAAATTTAAATCGCATCCAAATTTGAAAACAATGGTTAATGGTAAAGTAAGCTACACGATGGGACCACGCGAAGTGCAAATCAAGTCTGAAAGTGTAGCCGTTTTTTAGTCTAAATTGCGCCCTCTAGTGGCCTAGTGCCTGTGTTGTCAGGGCCCTGGTGTATTTATGAATGAGCAAGGCAGGCTTGCGGAGTGGCTCGCTCTTGTGGTCAAACTGCGTAGTATGCACCAACACATTGTCATTTTGATTATCAATGTAGTATAGATGTTAAATTCATCCAATATATACCAAATGTTGATCACACTCACTCTTCACTTAGTTCCCTGATGTGGTGAATATAGAACATAGACCTTATCCCTTTGACTGTTTCTCATTATTCAATGTGTCTGTATACCATGTACCACTATTTACTGCAAGCACAAAGTTGATTTTATGTATCATTAAAGTGACAAACTTCTTTCATCAGTTTTTGTGATGTGTGGGGTTTGCCTCTCTGAAAGTGTAAGATGACAAATTCAATTATAATTCCATGTGAGAATTGAAATGTGAGGGTTGTCTTTAGACATATGTCTTTAATGATAGGAAATGATTTTCAGATAATATTTTATGATTACAGGGAGGGGCGAGAACGTAGTCCCCTACTGCCAGAAATTATGAAGTCGCAGTCAAGATTTGGGGGATTTGCAGGAGTCTACAAGAGGAGGAGTCCACTCACTTCATTCAAAGAAAATGTCGCAGAGACTGTTGATATCATCTGTACTATTCCATATGTGTGATATTAACCATTTCAGATTTGAATCGACTGTTTATTGTAATACCTCTTGAAGCCGTTGAAGAATGCAACATAATTCATGTAATTTATTCACGTTAATGGATATATTGTTTTCAAATAAATACAGATTATTATAAAATACAGATTATTATATCAAAAGTATACTAAGATCTGATATTGTTGTGCTATAGGCAAATGTCATTCATGCAAGTAATCTGGCGCTCTTTATCGATATCCCTATTTTTTTGATAAACAAATATACATATATATTAATATTTCACAACTCACTGTTACTGTAGCACTGACCACTTTATTAAATAAAGCGCATGAAATTGGAAACAGAAAAACAGCAACTAACATTACTTAGTTATGCTAACAGTGCAAAGGAAACTTAACTTCTAAATACAAAGAAAAACCTATATGTAATAAATGATTCTGTTATGTTGAAGTACTACAACATATAGACAAACAGATGAAATTATATTTGTCATAAAATATCTGTAAATGGAAGGTTTGACCTGCTAAATATACATGCAGCCAAACAGAGCGTTACCCCAGCGTGCTGAGTAAAGGCTGTCAAAATGCTGGATGCTGCGGTCGTGGAGGTCCAGCTTGTTCCAGGCTCTGATGACTCTCTGTCTTGTAGAGTCACTGAGAGCAAGGTTTCCCTCCTCCAAGGCAATCTCAACAAGTACCCTGCTCAGCTCCTCTACGTGTTGGTACCCGGAGAGATGATTTGGACCGCACACATCCTCTACACAGGGATCCAGCTCAGGAGCCACAACCTGGTCGGTAAGAAGCAGATTCCTCCTCAACGGAGTCAGATTGTCACTCTCGCTGTCAGAGTTGTAGCCCGCATCTTGCTCCAGGGATTCTCAGCAACCACCTCATCATCTTCATCCTCGGCTGCTCGAAGCATCTCTCTGGCCTGAGCGTAATGGTCAGGTGTACGGAAAGGTTCTGACGACTGGGAGAACAGATACTCCAAACCAATTCGCTCCTCACCAGCAGGAACAGGTGGTCGGTAATTTACCTCCTCCGCCTCGCCAAAAAACTCCTGGCACCTCTGGTTGAGGCGATTTATCAGGTTAGACACGTACACCATGTGCTTCCTTCCTTTGTGGCTTTGGCATTGGCAGACTCCCTGTCAGAGTTCCAGCGTGCGATGCCACTGAGAAGATAGACCTGGAAGGGGACAGCTGCACAGTGGGGCCCCGGTATCATGCTGGGCAGGAAGGAGTGGAAGCACTCCAGGCAGTTGCTGCCTCTTACGGTCCTGTAGTATGGCAGGCGCACGCCGTTGTGGGTGACATACTTGGTGATGGTGTGCATGTCTCTTCCTGGAGGATCCTGAATGCACTCCAGGTGTTTCTGCTGGTTCCCCCAGACCCGGTCAATGGCTGCTGCGTCCTTGAACAGATGGACCTGGTTCTCGTCCATTCCAGCCGCTCCCTTCAGGATGTTGATGGCACTGCGGACAAAGGTCTCCTGGGCTCCAACCGTCATCCTCCTGACGTAATGCTTCAGATCAGATTTGCCGACGTGCATTTCAATGATCTGAACATCAGACAGGGACGCATATTTGGTCGGGTGTCCTGCACGCGTGGCTTGAATAAGCAGCGCCATGTCGTCCTTGTTATACATGAACAGAAAAGACAAACTGACAAACAAAGTTTGATTGATTGTTTAGTAAAACATATTTAATGTATCCTACATCATTTTCCACCAGCCACTTGAAGCTTTTGCCATTGTACTTTCCAAAAGTATTAATTAGCTGACCAACAAACTGCTTCTCTGTCGGAGTTGCCGTGATTATCTGGCATCTCCTTTTAGCTGCAGATTTAAGACATCCGAAATGTTGTTATAACTATAAAATAACAATATAAGAATTCTATGTGACCGTGTGTTGGTTGTGCATCTATGACACTAATGCTGATATATTACCTTCCTCAATAGCCGTCTTGGGATCCCTCAGCCTGCTGTTATCATATGTTTGGGATGTTTTTGACGACTGGCATGCCCTGGCCTCCTTTGTTGCCTTGAGAATGCATTGTTGCCTATCCTGTGGCACACTTGTGTCCAGAATACACAAGACAGGCATCAACAGATCCATTCCAGGTCTCTTAGCTGAAAAACATTAAACTCTTAAAAGTGTTATGATTATGTAATGACACACGCTGGAAGAAAATTATTTAGAATTAGCATGAGGAACACAGGTGGTAATGATGAAGACGATGAAGATGAATATTCCCGTGTGACTCACCTGCTGAATAAGGAGCTGTCTTAAACTCCATCTTCTGTCCTCACTCTCTGTTAGGCCAGTTAAAGAAGGCTTACTTAAATGTGCTACTTTTTTCTAACTTATTAAGCCACACATACAGCCTGAGGGGTTCTGAAACTCTTTTACAAGGGTGAAAAAGACGTTTAGAAGCCAGGTGACACGTTTGGTCGTACAATGGAGTATGCTGCTGTTATCTACAGACTAAACCACTATTATTATTTGAAAAGACTTTTAAACATCATATGTTTACTCAAACACTATCCCAGCTGAAAAACGGGGGCAGGACATAACAAATAAATAGCTGGGTGGCTCCTCATCGCGACTGATCAATATGGCAAAGAGTATCTGCTCAGAGAGGGCCCTAGAAATGGTTTTAGAAGAGAGACAAGCTTTGGAAGATGATGAAGAGTTTCCCTCAAGTCTGGCAGGGAGTTTGAAGAAGAGGGGGGCTCTTATATGTTGCGCAGACCGGCATGAATATGTGTTCAATGGGGCTGATTTACCATAAATACTTATCCACGGTCTTGATTACAATGAAGTGAAACACAAACAAACAGACAAACAAAAACATGTCGGGACCTTGGGCATAACTTGCATTACGGCGCCCAACACCAACTGTTTAAAACATTATCAACGACATTATGCTAGTGCTTTCTATAGACTTTACTGGGCTTTGTCGCTATTATTAAAGGTAATTTCGGGATACTGTTTTACTATCAGAGCCTGTAAATGGACAAAGAATGAGCGGCGTTAACGCCGGTCAGGTTAGTATCAAAATTAGCATTAGGTTACTATGGGGGGACACAATAATAGCGAAAATAAACTTGATTGAGGTGAAACAGGTTATTCATATCACAATCCTTACCTTGAAGTAGGCTATGAAATGGAGGTATTTCTCTTAATCCACGGTAATCAGCCACAGGACGCCGGCGGCCGGGGCAGGTAGTTAGCTAGCTCCGAAAGCCGTAGTAGACTGCCATGCGTCAATCACCACGAGGATGCGGGAGCTCTGGCGCTAGACGAAGTCCGATTGGTTGAGAGTGCAGAGCTCAGCCGCACTGTAGACTCTCCGCCAATCATGTAGACCCTTTAGACTCGGGAACAATAGGCGGCCTCAGAGCCCTTTAAAGAGTTCCCTTTAAAAAAGACGTCCTTTAAAGAGTTCCCTTTAAAGCAGCTAACAGCAGCTTTATGGTCGGAGCAAGCTGGCTGCTGGGTGCTTGTCAACAACATTGACAAGCAAACTCATTTTTGTAGTTTGATGTTGCACTCTCAGGAACGACAGAGTCCAAAAAGAGTGTCTTTGCAACATTTATTTAAGGATCCCCAGTAGTGAACATTTGTAGTGTAGTTTGTAGATATTTTTGGAATAAAGTCTTGATAAGAGCATTAAAAAAAACACAGAAGCGTACCACAGAACAAGCAGTGTTTTCGTCCCCAGCTCACGCACAGCACACGCTCAACTTCAGCCCTGGCAAAATCACCCTAACGGCTACTCTGGGGGTTTAAACTACTTGCGCTAGATGGGGAATGCTGTCATGTGACAGGCAGCTATCCGGTTTCAATTAACTAATAAAAATCGTGAATAATGACAGAATAAAGTAATAGATATGGGCAGTGAAACCAATAAATGTGCCTAATACTGTACAAAAAACTAAAGTACTAAATTAGTTGTGCTGGCAACTTTGACCATGTCTTTTTCACAAGTAGCTATATCGTTACCTCCAGGGCATGTCTATCAAGTCAATTGAGGAAGAGGAGGCAGGACGGAGAGGACGAGGTGCAAGCTAAGCAGCACATGTATATGTATTTTTAATATTAGTCTATTGTCTCCCAGTGTACTTGTCTCAAAGTTTCTCTGGTGTTTCCCCCGAAGCCCTTTGGTTGTCAAAAAAAAAGTGCTATATATATGGTGCAAAATGTACCTTCATACTTATAGCTCCTCCAGCAAGCCCCCTCGATCCTCGCTCCTTGATGTGCATTTTAAGAATTGAGATGTCCTTCAAGATGGCATACTGAGATCGATTTCCGGGTCACACGATCGAGGATTGAGGAGACAGAAATTTGGGAAATGAGAAAGGCCCTCTGTCTCTCTCTCTAAATGCAGGCAGGCTGAGTAATGGTGGGGGGGTCACGTTATGTGAACTTCAAACAAAATTTAGCATTACTGCAAGTAGCCTCCGCTCTTTGAAGACCTGCGAGACAGGCTGCATCATGAAGATTATTGCATATTAACATGGAGAATAATTGTGTTGCTTTTGTTGAGTTACATTCGGGGCTACAGTCAAAAAATTCGAGGCTAAAGAGTTTTATACAGATTAGTTTAAACAGTGATTTGTGCAGAAGGCTAATGTAGCCCACAGTCAGTGTCTTCAGTGCAACTGTCACAGTGTTACACCTAAAGACAGACATATATTTTATTCTGTGCTGAGGATAAATCCACGATGTGCGGAGATCTGTCCTTACATCGATGACAGATTGTTCAAGATTATGTTTTGATGAAAAACTAGCATATCTAACCTGGATTTGAAAGTTTTTAAAGTTCGGATATGTGCTTCGATATCGACAACATGAATGAGGAAATGAAACGTTGTCAGACAGGAGGGGAGCAGTTGAAACTGACGGTTTTCCAACTTATCCTGTTTATTTGCACAATAAGAAAACATGCAATGCAATATAGTTTTCCCTCATATAAAAACAGACATTTCCACTGTAAATTGGAGCAGAAAATGTCTCCCGAATGGAGGAAATTACAATTTTAATGCTCACTTTTACTTGTTTAGATGCTAGTCCTCCTCAGTTAATTTTGTTGAAGATATTAAAGACTAAAATGTGTATTGACCTGTTGTAAAACAGGCCAGATTTTTTCATTTTGAGGAGTGCTTGGTGTTTATGCACATGAAGCCGGGAAAGAAGATGGTGAGCCACAAAACTGCGTTGGATACGGGTCTGTTTCCACAAGACCAACCACTCGCGGGATAAGGACACTGATTCGTTCTCCTGAATTGTGATAGAGCTGAAACTTTATTATTTTGCTGCAGTGCGCAGTGAAGCTCATCTGGACTTTTAAAGGACTTAACAAAAGGACTAATTTAGAGTTGTGAGATTAAGTTGTAGAACATATGCTGATCTGTGAAGTTGTGTTCCACATCTATATTTTGTGGTATTGTAATTTCCTTTTTTTTTTTGCCGAATTGGTGATGCAAATGTGTTGTTGTTGCTGTAAACTAAAAAAACTAAATTAAAAACTTTATGACTTATATACTAAAGAGACGGTGAAACAAAAACTCTTACTAAGATAAAATAAGAATTTAGAGCTGAGTTAACTCAACGAGAAAAATTAGGAACTAAATAACAACTTAAAGGATTCTAAGTTGGAAATGATTTCAAGATCAACTAGGTTTAACCCAAACCAAAGAGAGGTAAAAATAGTATTAACACCTTTCCAGAGACCTGGGCATTATTAATGTGAAGTTTTTCCAAATTAAGTGTAGGCCTCTATCTTTGTATGTATATGTTGTGTGTCTGGTGCCAAACTGTGTATGTCTACTACTAACTCTTTATAAATAAGACAGCAGTTCAAACTTACTTCTTGGTCTGTGGTCTGTTATTACAGAGGTCTAGTTATAAACTGCTCCTCCGAACCTAGACTCTGGTCCAAGTAATCTGCAATACAGCGTTACATCTTCATTTTATTCTGCCTGATCTTGTCTTCTATAGAAATCTCTCAAAGTCCAGAAAATGAAGACAATGTATTAAGGTTACTGTCTTGGAAAACTTCACATTTCGTCCCACAGTTTCATCTCAAACGCTACTTTGATCCTGTTAGAAACTGTTAAACTGCGGTCCTTGATGGTGTCCTGAACAGTTTCATGTTTCGTGCCTTCTTCTCTGATGTCCCTCTCAATAGCTGCTCAGTCTTGTCCACTACTCTTAGAATTGGAGCTGTCACCTCAGATATATAGGGTTGTATATATGGCCAAGCTATCCCATACATTAACTAAAGAATCTTTAGATGAGGCTGCAGGAGATAAAATCAAAATACAGTTTACACCACCATTATTTATTGTTAATAACATGATCAATACATCAACATTTGCATCTTCTGCATGCTTAATTCAAACAGTTAACAGACATCTGGCTTACAATGTTTTGCCATGTATTCCTTTCTTTATTGTTACAGGAGCGAGTAGCTGGAGCATTAACAATTTGTATATGACATGAAATTCAGATCCACAAAAAACAGATGCAGCGTTAACTGCCTAGAGGGTTACAGAGAAGTTTTTACTGATCAAAACCAGCACCATCGATCTGGTCACTTTATAATAATGGACCATAAGACCTCCCTGAAGATCAAACATCTGGGGTGTAGAAATTGTTATCCCATGTAAAGCCACGGTCTGTCAGAAAATTTGTAAGCATTTCCCTGACGCTAAGTTCAACCTGCTCCCTGTTCTCATCTGTCCATGTTTCAGCATGCTCCACTCTCACTGTCTCACTCTCATTTTTAAGCAAGTTGCTCAAACTTTCAACTTCAGCACAGTTTCCATAGGGAAAGTTTATATTGTTATTTGCTGTCAAACCAAACAAATCCTGACATGATCTGCAAGAAGGCATGAACGGGTTTTCACGCGGTTTTAAGCTAAACGCCTGGCACCTGATTTGCTCTGGAAGTCTGATGGTTCCATCAAAGTTTGTATTCATTTCATTATTTGGATAGTAAGTCATCACTGCACCAGCTACGTTACTGTCCCAGGTGCTAAGACAGGACGCTGCAATCATGATTTTCCCGGGAAGAGGGCCAGAAGTGGACATGGAGACTCCATAGTACCTGTCTGAAGTATTCTGGGAGACACAGATGGTGGAGGAGACCAGATGCTTTGAGCTACCCCTCAGTTGACCGGTGAGATTAAGCACACTATCAATTATTGCTCTTTCATTCTCTTGTCTGTTCAGAGCTACAGTCTGCAAGCAAGCACACATATAATCAAGCTGCTGTTATTCTCACAAATGTGGTATTATTTACAGAGTCATGCTTTGTGTTTGTTCATGTGAAGAAGCTATTCTTTATAAAAAGGAAGAATTGTATCATCTTTGACAAACTAAAATCTTACCATGTCGAGCACACATGACATTGGACATCGCCTGGGGACTTGAGAGGAATAGCGTTCAAAAGGCTGAGGGTAGCGGTGCCTCAAGGCATTGAGCATGTCTTGATCGGTCACAATTTCTGTAGGTGAAAATGATGGTGGAGCCTTGATGTTTCCCAAGAAGAAGATGCTGTGAAGAATCTGTTTAGACACATTCAAATAGCCAGTATTTAAGCATGTAGCCAATAAGTATTATGTGTACACAACACACTATGACAGCACCATGCATTATGTCCAAAAACAGAACATTTCTAACCTCATCCACTAACGCTGAAGGTTCTGGACTCCGATTCACCATGTAATCGATAATCAACCAAGCATTCCTTCTGAAATTGTTTTCTTGTACTAGGAAGTCTTCCTGTCTAAAATAATAAACAGATTTCTTTAGGTGAATTGAAAAGCAGAAAGCAACAGTAACAACTTGTGGTTCAGTAAACCAGCTGACTCACCTCGTCATCCTCCGTTCAGCCTCCAGATGCAATCGGAAATGATACAAGGTACAAGGTAGGTTTAACGGTCACATTAGAACAGGGTTGTAAAATAAAATGTGGTTTGTAACTCCTTTCTGCTACATAGCAGAAAATATACAGTATAGAAAAACAAACATAGATTGTAAAACAGAAGCAAACTCTAAACTATATTCCATGGAGGATTCATTTAATTTAAAAGTCCCGCGGCTCGTCAGTCGTGGCTGCAAGATTAGGAGACGCAAGTTAAAGTGGTTGGAGGAAGATCTGATCGTTCTGTTTAGTTCAAACTGTAGCCTACATCACGTCCTCCTCTCATTTGTGCAGGTCCAAATTATCTATAACTACAGGTTAAAAAAACTTTCTAAAGTGGGTCTTTCACCGTGATTTGTTTTCCTCCATATTTACCTCTCTTCAGCGGTGCGCCTGTGTATTTTTGCTTCTGAAGAAAACAAGATGATTAATTGTGCTTTTAAACTTTTCTTTATGGTCAGAACATGACAAACACTTGATGCCAAAAAGCAGCCTGGTATCAAACAGTGGATCACTTCACAGAACTGAGGTAGAACATTCAAAACAACAAATATGCATGAGAAAAATTAAGTACAATCTTATTTCAGTCCCTTTTCCTCAACAAAATAAATGTCTTAATAGAAAATAAAGTGCTAATTTGTTTGTGATTCAAATAATTTAAATCAAATATTTATTGAACATTTGTATATTTTTATTGAGTAAGATTGTATCACAATAATTAACATTATTGTTTTATTGCCCCCTAGTTCACGTTCATGGTGTCCCTGACCACCTCCAGAGATCGTTTTGCTGATCGGATCACAATCTGTCCTCAATGCGTCTCGGGGGGATTTACACATGTACTTTCATGTGGTACCCGATCACAATCTGATCACCCGAAATACATTTTAATTCTAGGTGTAAACAGCCTCTATGTTCCCCTATTTGGAATATGCAAAGTCATTCACCTATGTTGAAAATAAAATTGCCAAATATGGCATTGCATCGTTCAGAGATCAAACGCGCGTCTCTTTTCTATCAAAGAAATTGTTTCAAAATTTGAGGTCTTAAATTTATATTTGTTGAGGTCTTAAAAGTTCTTAAAAAGCATTAAATTTTACTTTTAAAATGGTGCAAAAACCCTGTTATAGCTTGGTGGGAAACACTGCTCTGCAGTCTAGTGGTGCGACAGTTATAGTAACACAACATGTTACAACAATTACACATTTCACTGACACCAGAAATGAAATTAGCAATGTACAAATAAATCATAATATAAAATATTGGCATAGGAAACCACATAAAAGCAGCTACTCACCATTGTAAGTAAGGAGTAAGTGATACTGAAAGAAAGGAAATGAAGCCCTTCCCTCTGAACTACCCCTCCTTAGATTTCTCCGATGATGTCATGTAAAACTGAAGCTGCTGCCTTCGTGAAGGTTACTCTGTTCTACTGGAAAACCACAGGTTAACTCACTACTGAACAGAGAAGGAAAGCTTTGTAAATATGTTAATGACCAAGGAGTGCCATTGAAAAGACAAATGTCAGATGGTTAGAAAAGAATGCTAGATAAGTGCCACCTACAAACAGCAGCAAAAAAAACTAAACTGAAAGCAGTAGCAGTCAATATATTTTTCAATATACACTTCTTCTTTGAGCAGTCATGTGCTATGAACTTACGTTGTTTAAAATGGTAGTGCCTGATGTGTATAGAATAAGATGATGGAAAAGCTTAACATGAGTCAGTGTCCAGCCACGATTTACATGTACATGCTCTAGTGAGGACTATCGATTCAGCAGCACGAGCTGAGTTCTGAGGAAGTAAGTGAGCCTCTAAAACCCAGTCTTATAGTAGCCAGACTGATCGGCATCACAACAGGAAGTGTCTTAGACAGATATGCATATAGGCCTACACCCTCTCTGATGTTCTTGTGCTGTTTGAGACATGTGTTCTATATTATTTGGATCTGTTTGAGTTTCTTCAAATTTGTTTTACTGAATTAGCTCTGGGATGATCCTTTACCAGATTAATGTGATTATGTCTGCTGTAGCATTTTAACAGTTTTAATCAAATCTTCTTCAGTCAATTCAGGAAACATTTTCAGAATAATGAGCCTGTTAAACACACAGTTTGAACAAAAGCAGCAGGATTTTTACTAGGATATTTTGCATCTTAACAAACGGCCAATAAATTATTGAAGCACAGTGGCATGGTCACAACATTTTCTCCGAGGATCATAAAAGGGTACCGCTTCCTCGAGTTTCCCTTTTTAATTCCTCCAACTGTATTTGTAGTCTTCTCCTTTTTTTCGCAAACGTACACTGTTTTTCTGCCGTCTCTTTTTCCAGCCCCCCGGCTCTATCTTGTATAGTCTGTGTGTGTGTAGCTACGTCATTCTACATGCAACGTCATCCTGATTTTTTCCCCCGGTAAACATATTCACAAAATTTACGTCAGCTAAATGTAATCCAAAGCGACTTTCAGTTTCTAAGTTTGTCTGGAGCAATATTGGTGTCTTACAGTGGATTCAAACCCAAGTTGCTTGTACCAAAGGCATGTGTCTTATCCACTGCACCATCACCACCTCATCAGGGTTCGGAAACGAGTGAGGTCCAGATTTTTTTTTTTTTAAATAGATCTTATTTGACTAAAAATGACACCTAAACACAACCAGATTTATACACTACAATCACGCCAACTAATGATCTACACTCACCTAAAGGATTATTAGGAACACCTGTTCAATTTCTCATTAATGCAATTATCTAACCAACCAATCACATGGCAGTTGCTTCAATGCATTTAGGGGTGTGGTCCTGGTCAAGACAATCTCCTGAACTCCAAACTGAATGTTAGAATGGGAAAGAAAGGTGATTTAAGCACCTAACCCTGACCAAGTCCATCCCTTTATGGCCACCATGTACCCATCCTCTGATGGCTACTTCCAGCAGGATAATGCACCATGTCACAAAGCTCGAATCATTTCAAATTGGTTTCTTGAACATGACAATGAGTTCACTGTACTAAAATGGCCCCCACAGTCACCAGATCTCAACCCAATAGAGCATCTTTGGGATGTGGTGGAACGGGAGCTTCGTGCCCTGGATGTGCATCCCACAAATCTCCATCAACTGCAAGATGCTATCCTATCAATATGGGCCAACATTTCTAAAGAATGCTTTCAGCACCTTGTTGAATCAATGCCACGTAGAATTAAGGCAGTTCTGAAGGCACACAGTATTAGTATGGTGTTCCTAATAATCCTTTAGGTGAGTGTATAGTGAAATACATTCAAAGGGACCTGTTGGCAAAAACTAGGCCTACTTTTAGTAAAGCTGAATCTTCTATGAGGTAAGATGTCATCTCGTAATGACTAGATAATGGTAAAGTTGGAAATAGCACAGATTCTAACTTCCGGGATCAATAACTCGTTAGCAAAATGTGTTTTAAAAACAAACGACGCCTCTTTATTATCATAGTTAAGTACACAACCAGCTACAAGTACATTTTCACATAAATGAGTCTTCCTAGGATCGGCACAAATAACACTGGTCTCTACCTACGTGCAGCCGGCTGTGAGACGAGTGTGCAGGGACCATCTACAAAGTGCAACACCGAAAACACATTCTGCAGAGATATTCAATAACTTCACACTTATACAATGTAGCGGCCCAAAATCATCAATTAATGATATACTGCTGGTTATACTACAACACTTAGTTTGGGGGAAAAAGACTTTTGCATACCTAGTATTAGGTAGGCCTATTTTTAATATTCATTAACTACACTGTTAAAGGCTGTAGTGTCTCAAAAATCACCCCAGGTATCAGTGATCTCATGTTGATGGTACTACAACATTCAGTTTGTAGAAATATTGTTTTGCATGCTTTTGGAAAAATGTTCTCTTCAATAACTTCACTTTTAAGAGTTTTAGTGTCTCAAAACCACCCCACAAATCATTGATATCCTGCTTGTGATACTTCAACACTTGTAGAAATATAGTTTTGCATAAGTTTGGAGAATTTCTATCTTCAATAACTTTACTGTTAAAGGCTGTATTGGAGTGATAGGCGGATCAGCTCTGACATGATGTGAATCCATATGTAGGTTTAACAGTTTTTCTCAGATTTAGAGACAGCACCCACATGGACATTTTACCCTGCCTCTCCCTGTAGATTTCCAGGTGATTTCTTTATTGTGTTGTATTTATACTGAACAAAATAAACGCAACACTTTTCTTTTTGCCCCCATTCATCATGACCTTAACTTAAAGATCTAAGACTTTCTCTATGTGCACAAAAGGCCTATTTCTAATGTTCACCTGTCAAAATCTGTTTTAGTGAGCCCTTCTCCTTTGCCAAGATAATCCATCCACCTCACAGGTGTGGCATCACTTCACCAAAGTAAACACAGTGAACTTTGTTCTAAAAATCAATTATATATTTAATCTTTCCTAGAAATCCCCTTTCAAGATAATTAAAAGGAATACATAGAAAACCTAAAGCAACCAGTTAAAGGAGGATGTTGAGGGATCAGCTCCTCTCCCTCTGTTACACTTACTACCCATTAAGTCATCTAAACATAGGATGTTTCACCTAATTTTATCTCAGAGTACATGGAGACATGGAAAATTGGAAGGTTGATCATTTTTGATCCTTATTTCAATGAAGAAATCTAAAGCTAAGCATTGATAAATAGCCTTTTATTTAGAAGGAATGAATGGAAAATGGTATTCTTACATTAGAACATTTATACGTGTAAATATACACTTTCATTACTTAAAACAACAATTTGACTTATCGACCCACAGTTCTTGAGATATTTTAAACTTCACCATACATTGCATGGATGGTGTTTAATCTGCAGCAGCTCGAGAAGAATGTCAAACACTTAGGGGTAAGGCTCATACATTTAAAAATTCCACGTTGTTGCTAAAGGCCCTCCTCTAAGTTATAGAGACTCAGTTTAAAAGATTCTGTAGCTGGACTGGTCAGGAGATGCAGTTAGTATTCTGTCCAACACTTTATATTTTAGGAGACTGTAAAGTGTTATATTGTTTCCAACTTTATCTTCAATAAGTTTTGATTAATGTGATCTTGAACATAAAAGATAAGCACAGGTCTACAGCATTGTAGATCAGTGTATTGCTTGGTTGATGTATTCCGGTTGCTGTCTTGGAACACTTCACATTTGGACCCACGATTTCATCTCAGTCACTACTTTGTTCCTTACAGTTAGAGTAGTAGTCCTTACAATGGTGTCCTGAACAGTTTCATGTTTCATGCTTACTTCTGTTTAAGATTCTTTCCTGTGATGTTACTGATCTCCTCTCTCTGATGTCAATATCTGTAGCTGCTCAGGCTTGTCCTCCACAGCCCACTAGACAAGGCAAGGTAACTTTAATTGGATGGCACAATTCATCCACCAGGGCAGTTCAAAGTTCCTTACAGGGTAGGAAAACATATATACAGGGTATAAAAATATACCATTTGTAAGTATATACTACTATATATATATACACTACAATACTAAAGTGTGGCAACAAACTCATTTATAATATTCAGTCCACTCTCACCATTTTAATTATCTTCCAATAAATTTAGCTAATTTAATAATACTTTAACGAGCGTGGATTTGTAGACATGCAATGGCAGGTTGTCAGGGTGCGGGAGAGTTCATGATTGTGTTAAATAAACTGTTGGTTAGAGTGCATGAGTGCAGGCCACTGGGGTAAATGCCATCAAGAAAGAAGAAAGCTGTGATTCCAGAAGAGAACAAAGTTGTCCACAAAAGCTAAGCTGCGGGCAGCGCAGGTTAACTGCAGCCAGGTGTTAAGTGCGGCTAAAGCACCCATGCCACGGACCAGGGGACCAGAAACAAAAGATCTGTTTACTGTGGCCTAATAGAGAGTCAAGGAATTTGGTGAAGTCATGTTTTAGCATTTAAGAGGAATGACTGGTATGACTGTCTAAGAGTTGGAGTTGTCACCCCATATACAGTATGTAGGGTTGGATAGGGGCAAGCTATTCCATACATTAACTAAAGAATCTTTAGATGAAGTTGCAGGAGGTCAAATCAAAACACAGTTTACCCCACCATTATTTATTGTTAATAACACGATCAATACATCAACATTTGCATCTTTCTGCATGCTTTTTTCTTACAGTTATCAGACATCTGGCTTTGTGATTCTGCCATGAATGCATTCATATGTTTAATGTAACAGGAGTGGGTAGCTGGAGCATTAATCATTTGTTATGATAAAAGCACGATTTATTGACAGCTCTGGTCGTCACATCAATTTCACAATCACAAAAAACTTTGATTTAATTAGAGGGTTACAGAGAAGTTTTTACTGATAAGGAATCAAAACCATTGAGATCAATCTGGTTACTATATAATAATGAACCATAAGAACTCCCCAAAGATCAAACTTGTGGGGTGTAGAAATGTTTATCCCATGTAAATTTCTGCATTTTCAGAAGATTTGTAAGCTCTTTCAAGACACTCTCTTTAGCCTTTTTCCTGTTCTCATCTGTGGCTGTTATAGATGTTGGCTGTGCTTGCTCTCTCACTTCTGCCTCATGTTTAAGCAAGTTGCTCACACTTTCAGCTTCGGCACAGTGGCCATAGGGCCACTCCCTATTTTCACTTGTTGTCAAACCAAACAAATTCCCACATGATCTGCAAGGAGGCATTTCTCTTAGATCACTTAAGCTAAACGCCTGACACCTGACCTGCTCTGGAAGTTTAATGGTTCCATCAAAATATGGCTTTTGTGTCTTCTTTGGATAGTAGGTCATCACTGCACCAGCTACGTAACTGTCCCAGGCACTAAGGCAGGACGCAGCAATCATGATTCGCCCAGGATCCCTGCCAGAAGTGGACATGGAGACTCCATAGTACCTGTCTGAATTTGGGTCCTTGTTTTTTTGTGAGACACAGATGGTGGAGGAGACCAGATCTTTTGCTTCATCCTCCTTCAGTTGACGGATGAGCTTCTGCAGCTCTTCTATTATTGTGTCTTCATTCTCTTGTCCCATCAGATTGACAATCTGCAAGCAATCACAAACATTATTAAGCTGCTGTTATCCCCACATGTGCAGTATCATTTACAGAGTCATGCTTTGTATTGAGGTGAAGTAGTAATTCTACACTTAATATGTTTAATAAGGAAGAATTGGATAATCTTTTGACTAACTATAATCTCACCATGTCGAGCACACATGAAATTGGACTCCGCTTGGGTAGTTCAGAGGAAAAAAGTTTAAAAGGCTGAGGGTAGCGGCCCTTCAACAAATTTAGCATGTTGTCATCACTCACAATATCTTTTGGGGAATATTGAGGAGTCTTGATGTGTCCCAAAAAGAAGATGCTGTGAAGAATCTGTTAAGTCAAAACACAAGTATTCTTTATAGAAAATACACGATGACACACACCCATGCATTATGTCCAGAACCAGAAATTTTCAGTCCTCATCAGACAAACCTCATCCACTAACACTGAAAGATGCTTTGGACTCATTTTCACCATTTCACTGATAATCAAGAAAGCATTCCTTCTGAAATGGTCTTCCTGTATCAGAAACTCTTCTTCTCTAAAATAATAAACAAATTGTTTTTAGGGAATTGAAAAGCAGAAAGCAACAGTAACATGTAACACTTGTGGTTCAGTAAACCAGCTGACTCACCTCATCATCCTCCGTTCAGCCTCCAGATGCAAATGGAAATGATACAAGGTACAAGGTAGGTTTAACGGTCACATTAGAACAGGGTTGTAAAATAAAATGTGGTTTCTAACTCCCAGACAATATACAATATAGAAAGGAAAACTCTAAACTATATTCCATGGAGGATTCATTTGATTTAAAAGTCTCATAGCTTGGTGGGAAAACACTGCGACAGTTATAGTAAAACACATTTCACATTACACATTTCACTGACACCAGACTTTAAATTAGCAATGTAGAATGAACCATAATGTAAAATATTGTCAAAGGAAACCACATAAAAGCAGCTACTCACCATTGTCAGTAAGGAGTGAAACCGAAAGAAAAGAAATGAAGCCCTTCCCTCTGAACTACCCCTCCTTAGATTTCTCCGATGATGTCATGTAGAATCAATCAGTGAAGCTGCTGCCTTCGAAAGAGTTATTCTGTTCTACTGGAAAATCACAGGTTAACTCACTACTGAACAGAGAAGGAAAGCTTTGTAAATATGTTAATGACCAAGGAGTGCCATTGAAAAGATAATTGTCAGATGGCTAGATAAGGATATTTCTCTTCTGTACATGACAGGATGTGGTGCTAAAAGTGCTGCCAATAAACAGCAGCATCCACTGCACTGAAAGCAGCAATGCTCACACAGTAACAACTGTTTTATTTATGCTTTACTGTACATGTTCATGATTGTAACTCAGCGTGGTGGCTGATGTTAAAGCTTCGTTGAAAACCATGTTTTCTGCATGATTATGAACTAAATATGTAGATGTGACAAATTATGTTCCACATTTCTTCCTGCATTTAATTAAGTTTGTGGATCCAAATATGTATTTTTATTTGTGGTGTCTGTGTATCTTTTCCACGTGAACTCCTCTCAGTTATTCAAGCTAGTCAATGAAGTCAGTCTAAAACCAGCTTCCTCATTTGTCAGTGTTTATTTAAGCCTCCCTGAACACAACAGAAACCTCTTTTTTAACAATTCAATGTACTACCCACAAAAAACTGTTACTGTTAACAGAGGTAGAAGAAGAAGAGCTAATCATATTCATACATTAAATGTTCAATACCACAGAGGAATAATATAATAATAATGTTCACACAGTGTTTTTTAAACACTAAAATTCAAAAGAACACAAAAAGATATCGCAAACAGATATAGTATTACTATTTTAATAAGCAGTGAGTCTTTTTTTATTTTATTAATCATACATATCAATCAACAGATATATTACATCCCTTTATTGATAACAGGACACCATGCATTTTCTGTGTGGTTTAATAAAGTGTGCATTTCTATATTGACATGGACATAATCAACAACCAACAACATCACAAGAACAAAACCCAAAAGCATTAGCTGCTGGATCCTGGAGAGAGAGAGAGAGAGAGAGAGAGAGAGAGGAAACCAATCAGTACAGAATAAATGAGTGCGACACAGAAACAAAACAGGCAAAGCGATCTTTCTTACAGTAAAATCAGATGTTTTGAAGTAGGATTTCAACACAAGCTTTCTTTGAAAAGTATGACCTTAATCCTTACCCTGCAGCAAAGATAAAATACTCACATTTGATTTTGAGATTCTGCAGGAATCTGGACTTTTGTGCTGTCACCAGTTTATGATGCGCTTGGTCCAAACTCTTCCCCACAGCACCCTCCCTCACTTTGGCCCAGTCCTTCTCGGTCTACACACAACAAACAACATCAAACAAACATTGTCAGTGCCCACAGGTGATCAATAATCAAAGCTTGTACCCAGCAACTTCACTGTAACTTTTTACCATATCTTTGAAGGCCTCCCCGTTGTAATAGCTCGTGGATGCTGGATACTCTATTCTCTTTTCACCTAGCTGCTTTAGGCTTGAAGCCACCTCGTGCAGTTCCTCTCCATCGTAGGCATACAGCTTTCTGTCCTCACAGGTCATCAGGACGAGCTGGTCACACGGGCACGAGGTCTCCTCCACTACACCTACAACCTGCATGCTTACTTCTTTAGGAAGGTAGAATTTACCCCACCCATTGACTTCATAAGGTTTGTCTCTGTAAATGGTGTCACTCAGGTCTCCTATTGTCAGTGTGGCACCAGCTGGACTCTCTAAGACCAAAGACTTGCCTTTATGTTTGGACACAAAGCCTGACACGGATCCAAGGTAATCTCGACCTGTAACACATGCCAGAGTTTGACTGAATATGGAAAATACTTTTCATAGCAAGGCTTTATGATGTGTGAGGCAAACATGTGTGTCGTCTACCTCTGTCTCTGTTGAACTGCAGGAGATGAAGTAGATCCCCTGGTGCCCTGAAAGGTACAAAAACAGAGCTAAAAGAAGAGCTGATAGTCACAGCAGTATTTACTGGACCAATGTAATAAGAAGATGTTTAAGTGATGACCTCAATGCCAAAGTAATTACATTTCACATCATGAGAAGTCTCCTTCACTTTCTGAAAATCACAACACCACTCTAGCCTCCTGTTTTTGTGTTCAACAACCATGAGCACACGAGCTGAATGCCTCTGTCTCTGCTAAACTTTGGTTCATGACTCCACTCTGTTCTCATACACACATCTCTGATTCAGGTCTTCATCCTCAAGGAACAGTCAGTGTTTGCTCCGTCTTTGTAACTGATCTTACATCGTATGTTTTATCTACATTTACCTGCTTCATCCTGCTTCTTCTTCTTGTCTCTACTTCCTCCCACCAAACCCTTTGACGCAACGTCTTGTTTCAGTTAAGTCAATGCAAGTCAATTTATCTTCAACATTTCCTCTGGATAATTTTGTTGTTGTTATTTGTGACACATTTGCTATTATTTGTGATGTTGGGAGCATCTACTTATTGCTTCACATTTAAACTCCTTTCAAGAATTCAAACTAAATGCACTCTAACAAGATACATGGGAATAAAGGTGTACTACTTGTACACTTCTCTTCTCTGGTACTTTGTTATATGTCATTGCTCATTTAAAGCTCATTGAACAGAAAACGGGTTCTTACAAGCAGACGTTCACTGGACCGTCCGCCATTCGGGCTCTCTGTCACCTAGAAAACAAAATTTGTATTGTTAAAAGTAGTGATAGTAAAAACCTTTACTCAAGTACTGAAAGTACTATTACTACAATAGAATAATATTATAATGTTACCAGAGACCAACTGAGCTTTTAAAAAAACTAATCAATATACTGTATCAATAAAGAGCAACTGGTAATCTGTCAGATACATTTTAATAGAAATAAAACGAAATACAAAGGGGGGACCTGTTGGCCTATAGTTAAAATGTGGGCCTTATAGTCCTTCAGAGGTCCCATAGGGACCTTTTTTGCATGTCACACCCTTTCTTATGTGGGTTTAAACTTACATACATTTTATCTCCAGGTTATTGATAAAAAATTAACACTAATAACCTTTGCTAATATAGTTGTGGCTAGCGGGCATACAAGATTTTATCATGGCTGCAACATCGGGGGCAGTTTTAACACTGTGTTACAATTACCCCCAAGTCACATGGCCCAATGTAAGCAGCTTGTTTGTCTGTGTTGACATACGTTTGTTAGAAAATTAACATTTCACAAAATTTTAATTTAAACCTACATTTAAAAAGGTGAGTTATAATAAAATTATTTGTTCTAGTATAAACAAATCATCAATTAACATAGTCCAACATTCGTTGTATTATATAATGTGTTTGACAGAAAGTGTGAATATTATATAGGCCTAAATATGCAAAAGAAACGTTCCTTTCATTGTCAGTTTGTCTGTATAGTGAATTTAAAGCAGTTGATTGCATAAGACCCAGCAAAACCAAACAGAACAAGTTCACTTATAAAAAGCAATTTTATGAAATCAGAACAGAAAACTTAGCAGAAGATGCCTGACATCTAAAATAATTTGAATCATATGCAAAAAAACCTCTTAAGGAAAATTATTAGCAGTAAAGTCATTACTTTGAGGTAGGCTTTAACTTGAGATACAATGGGTCAATATGACTTATTTTTCAGTGTTACAATTGTTCCTGCAAAGTGGGCAATTGTAACTCTGATTTGTTGCATTTAATTAAATATTATAGTGCTGTCCTTATTAGTGAAAATATATCAATTGTATTATTAATAAGTGGACATTTATATGTTTCTTGTATCAACAGATGATAATGTATTTCAAGTAGTCTGTGAGTTATTAAGGAAAATGTAAAAAAAGTTACAACTGCCCCAGGTCTCCCCTACTCAGCCAAGTGGAACTACAAATTGTAAGGCTTTCAGTGCACATATATTATGCATTATATGTGGCGTCAGTGTGCCAGCATACTGCACCATATGCTACAAGCATAGTCTATATATTTTCACTTTCATTACCTCTAAATCCAGAATCGAAAGCTCCGGACCTTGTTCTAATTCTTTATAATTTTATCAAATGTCAAAATTGTAATAACATCCAAATTTGAAAACAATGGTAAGAGGAACAGAAACAGCGCATGCCTTCCATATTCACCATTAATATTAGAGAAAGCCTCCTCAAATCCTTCCTCACACGTTATTTAAACAAACTCAAATAATAATAGTTACCACAGCTGAAGAACGGACTCCTTGCTGTCCTCGGTTAAAATATGACACTCCTGGAGCGTTTACGCCCTTGCTGCGGTGCGTTTGGGTTGGTAAACAGCCGCTCTCTGGTCCGCCTCGAAGGTGTGGTCTCGGATCGCTGCCAAGTGATCTCTGCAGCAGACCTTTTTTAAGGTTTGAAACTGTGTGACAGCAGGAAGCCTAGGCTACCACTGTAGGCTTTGTGTCATTTTATTAGTTAAAAATCGTTTAGCGCTTTGCTACCAACATGTCGACAAGCAGGGGACAAACTGGAGTCACGACGAAGCCTCCTGAATATTTGGCTATGGCGGGATAACCTACGGAAGGAGACTGTTGTGTGACATCTATGTGTGGATAGGCTACTCCTTTGCCAATGTAGGCTACATCTTCATCAATAAGTTGCCACCTAGTCGCCACAAGTCGTCCGACGGCCCCCCCCCCCAAACTATATTGAGTAAATGTATTCAATACATGGCATAATATGTTACCGAACACTCATTTCATTCTAAACTGTGTTGTAAAAATGAATAAATGAAATTGTAGGCCTACACCAAATAAAAAAGTAGGGAAAGTAAAGAGGAATCAACAAAAACCTGCAACTGGAGTAGCCAAAACCTTAGTTTGGAGGTCAAATCAAAACACAGGTTACACCACCACAATTTTTTGTGAATAACATGATCAATACATCAACATTTTCATGTTTTTGCATGCTTTATTCATACAGTTAATAGACGACATCTGGTTTACAAGATACAAGGTTACAAGCTAAATGGTTGATTTAGTCGTCAGAATACAACAGGTTATATAGTGAAATTGAGTTTGAAACTCCCTTCTCTTATGTGGAAGACAATAAACATTAATATCAAAGCAATAATAAAAATGGTAAACAGAAATAAACTATAATCAATGGAGCAGTGCTGAGGATGAATTTGAGTTTAAAAGTCTGATAGCTGGGGGAAAGCTGCTCTGCTGTC